GATATGGGCCAAACACAGGCAAAATTAGGAAACCTGGTTGACACAGAGGAGTTGGGCTGAAAGGCCTGTTTCTCTGCTGTATGGGCTCTATGAGTCAGTGTTGGCTTTGGCCTGCTGCTCCAAAGTGCATGAAAGCTGTTCTCAGTATCTTTTTCCACATGTGCTCAGCTGAGGAATTAACTCATGATTATCAGTCTGCTAAGTAACATTGATGATGTATCCCTAGCTAATTTCTAATGTGTCTTGCCACTTTGGTGTCCTTTTTTTAAGTAAAAAGTCCACAAACTTTCTATTAACACCATTATGCAGTATAGTCATGTACCTTTGTTGCTTCAGTAATCACATTCACATACAGCATGTTATTGCTTTGCATTTATCCATTATTAGGGGTATCTTGATCACTGTGAATTATGAAATTCAAAGGCTCATCTTGTATGCTTTTGTGCTTCTACATTCCTGCAACCATTATTAATCTGCATAAAGTGCCAGCTTTCCATGTCAGAGAAAGGCGATGTGCACATTCCAAAAAGCATCAAGATGCAGTGAGAATATTAATGCACATCCTTTTACATTGATCAGTACGTACAGCTGCAGTGAACAGGACAACTGAAAAGTTTGCATCAATACAGCATAAATTTAACAAAATAACCTAAGTGCAGTTTGAAAAAGAAAAAGATTTTAACAGTTTTACATCCCTAATTAGTCATTTGGTTTTGAAGGACTGGCTTTATTTTTAATGCCAGCACCAGTAACTAGTTCGTATTTTGCTTACCAACAGCTGCTGGGGCAGAATTACAATTTCCTTGTATACCTTCAAATCTTAAATATAACAGTTTTTGACTCACATCAATAACAGAGGAGTCATATCTTAACTGAATATGGTAAGGTATTGAGATGAAATCAATCCATCGCTCGTGTTTAACTGGCAGAGATTACAGAGTCTTAAAGAAACTAATTCATTGTATACTTGCAAACTGCACTCACATCATTGTTATACGATTGATTCCAATGAACTCCATGCAAGGTTTTTCCCTTATCACAGTAGGTCCATACCATCACAGTAGGTGTTGTAACCTTACTCTTTCAGGTATTAACCCTCTCAAGGCCTTTCAGACTCTTATACATCATAGAATCCCTACAATGTGGAAACAGGCCCTTCGGCTCAACAAGTCCACACCGATCCTTGGAGCATCCCACCCAGACCCATCCCCATCCCCCTATAACCCACCTAATCTACAGACCCCTGAACACTATGGGCAATTTAGCTTAGCCAATTCACCTAACCTGCACATCTTTGGACTGTGGGAGGAAACCCACGCAGACATGGGGAGAACGTGCAAACTCCATGCAGGCAGTCACCCAAGGGTGGAATCGAACCCGGGTCCCTGGCACTGTGAGGCAGCAGTGCTAACCACTGAGCCACCATGCCGCCCACAAGACTTTGTCCTTATTATTGTTTCACATACATTCATTTTTAAATTTAAATTTACATATTACCTCATCACTGACTTCACTAATTTAAACTGCTATCAGATTTCATGGCTGTCTCTGATTGTATTTGAGTCAGACACAAAACGTTAGGAGTGTTTCTGGTGACTCTCGATTCTTGGAAGGATAGCTTTCATTAAGATCTGTAATATCATGTTCTTCTCAAATTTCACTTGAATATCAGGTGCATCCAAATATAAGACTGATTGACATCTGTGGTGCATTGGAATCATATTTCTTCTTTTCCCTTTATAGTACCTATTGCTGTATTTACTTAATAAGAATTTGTTCATTACCAACTTTCTGAATGATTAAGTCTCCTCTATTTTGGTCACCTGCCCCACCCTTTTGGACCATCCTGCTGGTAGGTTCCAGGGTGAATTCTATCATAATTATAAGCTTGTAACTTTCTGAAAGACTTTTCTGTGTCTTCAACCATCTGATTATTCTGGACTTCTGGCTTTGGAAGGTTTTTTTACTCGAATAAGACATTGAGTTCTAAGCTGTCTTCCCATCAATAATTCAGCTGGTTCTAATTCACATTGTAATGGAGTAACTCTGTATTTCAAGAATGCTGTTTGGAAATCTTCATTCTTTCTCCAGGGTGATTTGGCCGCCCTGAATTATGGGGCAGCATGTTGACTCAGTGGTTAGCACTGCTCCCTCACAGTGCTTGAGTCCCAGGTCAGGAGTTTGATTCCACCCTCGGACGACTGTCTGTGTGGAGTTTGCACATTCTCCCCATGTCTGTGTGGGTTTCCTCCGGGTGCTCCGGTTTCCTCCCACAGTCCAAAGATGTGCAGGCGAGGTGGATTGGCCATGTTAAATTACCTGTAGTCCAGGGATGTGCAGGCTAGGTGTGCTAGCCATGGGAAATGCAGGGTTAGCGGGATGGATGCGGGTCGGATGCTCTTCAGAGGATTAGTGTGGACTCGATGGGCCAAATGGCCTGCTTCCACACTGTAGGGATTCTAATCCTTGTTGAGCTTCATCACTGGACTGAGAATATCTTGTTGAAATTAACATTCTCTTGTAAAGGACTATCTGCAGTTGTTCTAGCAACTGCGTCTATAGTTTTCCCTATTCATATACAATTCCATAAATTAATGCCATCACTCTCGACTGGAATCATTGTTTTCTCGGAGGCATTTGTGCATGGTCCTCTTCATCAAGTAAGGGAACTAAGAGCTTATGATCTGTCCTTATAGCCACTTTCAGATCAATGATATAGTCTGACAATTTTCCTCAAGCCTATGTCGCTGAGAAATTCTCCTTTTCTAACACTTCATATCTCATCTCAGTGTCTAACAGTGAGATGTTTAATCCTTGATTTACATTTGACTCCTGTATTTTGATTCTATCATTCTGCTGTTGCCACTGAAATGTGCTTGAAGAAATAAAGAGATGTTTTTGAGAATTTGCACAATTTGTTGATTTCAGGTTCTCTTCCTGTAAACAATTCAGAACGTCTCTAACTCTTGGGTTATTCTTTGAGGGATTTACCATGGACTAAGGTCGGCTCCATATGGCATATTACTCCACCAAACCCTTGAAGTTAATTAAACATTACTCATTGATAAAGCTCTGGTGATG